TCAGATCCAGATCCTTCTTGGCCAGAGTGTTTTGCCCGTATATGTCGGTTTTTGGTCGATGTACTTGAAAAATTTTATCTCACAAAATCGGCAAGTCTAGTTATTTCTAAAAAATTAAAAATTAAATTATTACGAGACATCATAACATAACCTACAAATATCAAATTAAAGCAATAAACTTGCCTTTCAAGCTCCATTTTAAAGGCAAACGGCCTGAAATAAATATGAATAATTAATCACAAAAAATATAAGTCGCTTATTAATCTCGATTTCAAGAGCAAATTATAGTCTTGCTATATCGGCAAAAATCCAACGGATTCTGTCGTCTTCGCGGTAAAATAAAAATTAACCGTTTAAAACTGGCGGGCTGCTATTCGATTAAACTCGATATCAAACGAAGCGCGCTTCGGATTACATTGATGCTCCTGCGTTCTGATTGGCTCGGCACGTTGGAATATTAACGTATGCTGTCAAGTCAACGCTCCTAACTGGCCAATCCACGATCTCATTCCGGCCAATCCAAAATGGAAAACGTTCATTTAAACAATTTCTAACAGGCACACGGTATAATATGGGCACTACCTATCTATCAGATTATCAGTTATCGCAAATATATATACTTTGTATATGTCACTTTTTAAATGGTGGTCCATTATAAAGGAACCTTGAGAGAGTCTTGCTTGAAAGTTCTGTTGGCAGTCCTTTCAGTACTCGTTTTACCAATATCAGGTTTGCTCTCGGGATGCGTCTGTGTGTGAATTTTGCTTGTTTTCTTAAAAATACGGGAGACCTTCTAATTACTTCTCTTTTGGTGGATCAATTTTTTTTTTCGATTATTGGCTACGAGAAACAATACGTTTCCTGGAACCCGTCTTGTAGAATAGAACAATGCATATTCTCTTGAACACTGTAAAAAGACATTTTTTCTTTTAAAAAAATTGGTGACAACTAAATGTAAAAAAAAACTATGTATTTCTGTTTGATATTTTGTAAAAATAAGTCGCGGTTAGAAATGCTATTGCGGGAATTCAAGTCATACTGTATGTTCACAGGGGTTAGAAACTGTTTTGCAGCTAGAAATAAGTTCTATTTGCTTCCATTATTTGTTGATTTTATATTGAATTTAGGTAATTAATGTTTAAAAGAAGACTTAGTCAGAATTAGAGTTTATATAGGTTTAGTTGGATTTAAAATTAAATACACGAGTTGTGGAAAGTTGGCCGTAACTTCTAAATTACCAAGTCTTGTATTCTGGAAAATCGGTAGAATCATGTGTTCAATACAGGTTTAGGTCGAAGGTTCGTTGCCTCGAGGCAGCTGGAATCTGTGTATAAGTACAAATAAATGAGACCGTCGTTGTGAGACCGGAGATTTGGCAACGGTGGATTCTATTTTTAGAATGTCGGCGGAATTTAATAATTTTACACCTTTTGCTATTTCCGCTAAGCAGTTGATGTTTGGCGGTTTTTTAATTTGAAATTCAAATTTACCAGTCATTTCCAATATTTGTTGCGATTTTGCTCTAGTATTTACCGTAATTAATACTTAGTGTTTCCATGTAAATAACAAGAAATATATTTTAACCAAAAAATTGACAGATAGACTACTTTTTATTCAACATCAAATATTAATATAAAAAAAAACCTTCACTTTTACCGGAAGTACACGGAAAATTTAACTTCGTAAAGCCACATTCATCCGAAAAAAGAATTGAACTTTTGAAATTAGGAATAATGCCTGTTTAAAAAATTAAAAAAACATTTCCGACATGGATTTATCCATAGAATACAAAAATAGGAAAACATACAGAATAATTCCGATAAGCAACAATTTTATATGTCCGAATGTATCATCCCTTATTTATATATCTGTAAATTTCAAATTTATTCAATTTTTTTTACAGAGACTTGCCTAATGATGTCATTGGCACATATATCATTATAATTTGACAGATACATTATCGAAACATGATTCTTTTGTTATTTTAAATTTATATATCATTTGTTCTATTGAAAAGTATGAAAAAAAAAAGTTATTTTTTAAAAATTTCTTTGCTTTTTAAAAACCCACTACTGCGAGATTTGCAAGTTATCCCTCTTTGAGCCCATCGCAATTCAATTATATTGCGCGAATATTGTGACTAAAGAAATAAATATTAGTTTATCAGTGTTACTTATTAAGTACTTGAGAATCCACGGGGCCATTTTGCTAAGTATCGTTAAGGTGAAAAGTTACAAACAGAAAGTTACAAAGAAGTGGTCAAAAATTTTATTTTTGCTTGTTCGGCATAATTTATTAAATAATAACCATGTCTTGATGGAATTTGGTACTTGCGGTTTTCCTCAAATTTGTTTTAATTTAGCTCTTACTCGTTAAGTCGCAGCATGTCTTTTTGTCAATTTCAAAGAGTCATGAATTTTTGTACGTCACTCATGTTTACGTGGAAAACGTCTTTTTTTGCCGTGTTCGAAATATTTTGATTTGAAGTGTTTTTAAAAAAAGTGAAACTACAGTCATCGCTCGATTAGTAATTTCATAGACACCAGGAATTATATACCGGGTGATTATTTAGATGGCCAAATATTGGCTCCCCTGTATATTTTATAGCAAATTTGTAATAAACTTTTTGAAGGGGTCAGTATCATTAACTCATGTATCCAGTTTGAAGAAATTTTATTAATCCAATATTGCAATAGGTCAATTCAACAAAAACAAGAAATCTTCAAGAAACAACTATTAATTGGACCATCAAGTCTTTTATTACAAATAATTATAAAAAAAAATGGTTAAAAGAAAGATTATTTAAAATAAACGTTATTTTTTAAGTAAATCTTCAAACAACCCTCGATTAACAGTTAAACAATATCCTAATCGATTACAAAAAACATTGCTTAATTGATATTGTGAAATCCCGTCATATTCTAAATGTTTGTTAGCGTTTCCTAGCGTTTGCTGTTACTGGTTAACATTTTCAAATTTGACATTTTTGTAGATACCACTATTTAAGTAACCCCACAGAAAGTCGTTTAGCGCGAGGTCAGGTGACCTAGGTGGTCAAAGGATTCGTCATCTTGGGCCAATAATATTCCCGTTAGACGTATTTCCTAAATATTTGCAAATGCAAATGCACTTTGTGTTTTTTTAATGTGCCCAACACTGTGGTTTGATGTTTATTTACACCTTGTCCAAGGATTCTCTTACCAATCCTTTTGTTTTCCTCCACTTGCAGTAAAATGTTCAAATCTCTATTGTTCCTTTCTTCTGCTCTAACATGCGTTATTTATTACAGTGCCTTTGGACTCGAATTGGGTAATAATACGTTTAATTTTTGAACTCGAAGTTATAGTTTTAACAGGAAAATTAACTGAAAACATTTCAGACCATGCTCTAAGACTCTTTCATGCATAATACCACACGTACCATGGTTACTTTTTCTTTAAGTGAATAACGCATGTTAATTTTAATTAAAGCACGACCCACGAAGTATAACAATTACAAATAAACATGTTGTTACTGTCACGACTTTTCGTTTGTCATTGTCAAAATGTATTTTGCTGGTGTTTGATTTATTAATTTCAAACTCGACACATGAGTTAATCATACTGGCTCCTTCAAAAAGCTATATTACAACTTTGCTATAAAATTCTTAAAAGGTCGATATAAAAAAATGAGTGTTAATAGATGTACAAAAAAAATTATTAGGCATTTTTAAATGGGTAAGATTTGTGAATTTGGTATAGCCGAAAATCATTTCAGACAGTGAGTAATACTCGAAGAAAATCAATTTTACTAAGAATTCATTAATATGTTTGATACTATTTGTTTTAAATATAAACCCTAAAATAAAGGCTAGTATGGGTCAAAATACAACTATTAAGAATGTATAACCCTACAAATATGACGGAAAAAGAAATAGATAGAACAATAAAATATTACGAAAGCATTACTATTATAAAGTCGCAGTTTTTGAGAGAGATTGAATTGCAGTACCCCTCCCGGCCTTCGTAACTAAATATGAAGAAAAACATACTCAAGGATACAAAAAAAAATTAATATGTTATTTAGAAGCTTTTCTCTAGGACAATTACAAGAGGGATGTACTTCGCATCATTTTGTATTTCGTTTCAAATGCAATACACATTTTTAAATATAGACCCTTTTATCTTTTCGCTCCAAATTATAACCCAACTATGTGGCAACAGTGGTTTAGTAACGTCGGTGCAATACACGAAATTGTATTCAGAATGGTCTGAAAAAGGAGTTTAACTGTTTCGTGGTATAACGTTTATCAATTACGCTAAAACTTAGTTGTTTAGGTTGTTTCCCCTCTTTGCTCACGAAGTTATAGTCGTGTATAGTATATTCTCATCTTATATAGTCCATTTTCTTATTTAGTACTAGGTAATCTAAGGTTACCTGTTACATGTGTCTGGTACAGTACCGTCCGTTGTATAAGTATAACCCCAAAAATGTGCTAATTATTCAATTTTAGGAAATCGAGAAATTTTAATTAGAAAAAATATTTTTTTGATGGTCACCCCGTATTTATCAATATTATCAACTTGTAGAAATGTAAACTGCCATTTTTCTCGAAAGCTACTAAAAATTTCTTAAAAAATAAAGTTGGTTACTGTCATATACTGTCAGCTACTCGGGGTCAAACACTTTTTGCATTTAACGTTTTTTCCTAGGAGCATCTTAAATAGATCACCCTCTATATGCAAAAGTTGCATAATCTTCTGGATGTACTAATAAAAAACTAACGTACGTTCAAATGATGACAAACACCTTTAATAAATTTTATAAATGTAATACGTGTTGTGAGAGTCAAGAAAAGAAGTTCCTTTAACATATAAAAATAAAATAAAGAGTAAGGGACCCAAGTGGGAACCCTGCGGATCGCCAGACAACCCGTAACAGTACACAACACGGGACAGCCTGTAGCCGAACAGTTCCCTGGACTCAATTGAAAGGAATTTATTCATAGACATAAAGTTATTCGTCGTCATCATCAGTTCCGAGCCTTGTTGCGAAGGCGGCTGTTTAGTTACTGCAGTATAATTTGTTAAGCACAAGCTAAACTACGATATCCGTAAAATGGTGAGTAGTTATAAAAATTGTCCACTGTATAACTATAAAAAATTAAATTAAATTAAAATTGTGTTGCGGCTTTCAGAGAACTTACGATTTTCGCGGAATCATGATTCCTGTATTGACGGCTTTCCATGACGACATGTAAGTATACACAATGTCTGGAGATCGTTTTTGTCTTTTTTGTTGTTATTCAAAGAGATATAATAAAGCTAGATAATAGATATATTTGACGTTGTCGTGTAGTAGGTGCTGACAAATTATAGCTAAATAGGTAGATCACGTCAACATATCAGCTGTAATGTTTCGGCAGGCTTCAAGAACTGGTCTTCCCAATTGACCCTCTTGAAACTCTTTTTGGAAGGTCTCTCAGAAAATCTAATAAAATATATGGTGTGTCAATTAAGTAAATCAAGATTTTTCAATTTAAAATGCTCCAAATATATTCGTTTATAAATCACTACCCAAATTTCTTAATAAACGATTTTTTTTAAAGAAAACATAAGGGAGTGTGAATAACATTTTCAAATGAAATTATACCCTCGACCGGTCTGGATTAGCATTAGAACAAAGCATTTCGGGAGCCGGCGGCCTACGATATTGTTAACTTAAGGGGTGGCGTAAGGGTTTCAACCCTATACGGAATAAAACTCTCCCCAAAAACCAAAGCACTGTTCTATTTGACCACCTATTACAACATTTCCTTTCGGCTCTTCGGTCTATGTCGTACTTGAGCCAACTGCTATGGGAAGGTTGGGCTTTGGCATTTGGCTTTGTTTGTTTCGCCAACTCAGCACTTTGTTGTCGTTGGGCAGCGATTAAATTAATTAAAGTTTTTGCCACTGCACTGTCACTTTCCAAAGTTCAGAAATAGACTCGACACTAGGTGACACATTATCTCCGTTCGAATCTGTTGTAAGATTCAGCGCGGCACCGTTTGTGCAATTGTCTGCCGCCATTTTCACACTAATTTGTATTGCTTTTGCAACACTGGACACAGAACTATCCCACTTCTGATGTTAACTTAAGGGGTGGCGTGAGGGTTTCAACCCTGAATAAAACTCTCCCCAAAAACCAAAACACAGTTCTATTGGATCACCTATAACAACATTGCCTTTCGGCTTTTCGGTCTATATCGTACTGCCGTTTTGTTCTTGCGTAGCCGGAACCACATGCCGCTCCTCCGTCCTGACTCAGCATACGTGACTCTTGGCGGCCATCTTAACAACGTTTGTATTTACCATTTTCTAATAGCCTTTGAAACTAATGACATGATGAACTTTACGATATCGTTGACTCAGCGTCTACAGTCGCTGCATGACGTGTGACCTGACCATCAGACGTCGAAATGCCATCAGTGTTTAAAATCTACCGAAAACATTCGTCAGTTACCCTGTACTGATGAAACAATAGAGACAAGACGAGACCCTTATACCCATTCTCATTACAATTTTCTCGGTAGCACTTTTTTTTCATACTTGTCCGCATCGTTTACCTATGAACTCGTTAGAACTTAACCTTCAACAGAATATAGTATGTAAACTTTGCAGGTCGCTTAATTTGGACGCCATCCCAAGATACGCTGAATATCTGGCACAGAACGGGATCCAAGGAATTTTAAGTAAGGAAAAATAGGTAGCATTGTATAATTCCATAAACCATAGATTTATAGCTAGCCACGTCATCTTGATGGCAGCACGTTTTACCCAAGATGAACACTTACGCTATGGTGAATGTAACTTATTCAATAACAACCAAACCATGATAATAATAATAATAATAATAATAATTTTGTTTTCCACATAGACATTTTTTTTAGTAATTTGTATAGGAATTGTCAAATAAAAAAAGCGTTTAATGACAAGCACAGACCAAATATATAGAGACCCTAAAAAAATGTATACCGACTCTCACTATTAGGATCTCAGTAACGGCAATAGATACAGGCTGACTGAAATTGGGCCAAAGTTGCGAAATTGAAGTTAAAATATTCTCGTCGGAGCTTTATTTTTTCTTATGGTCGCCGTATTGGATTTTGGCAGTGTTGAATAGCCCATATTAGTACCTTTTTATTGATGTATCGCAAGTTGTATTTGTGTTCCTTCAAATTCGAAAAATTGAACAAAAACTTTTATGCCATACCTAGCTGTGAATTTACTTTGTCATTAAAAGTGGACTTTACCAATGAAAATAAACGAGATACGGTAAAACTTTATTATAGACAGGATAGAAACATTGTCAAGACATCAGAAATGTATTTGAACATGTATCCTGAAAGACGACAATCTCATCGAACTTTACATAGAAACCCCGCTGAATTTGCTTCGTTTGAAAAACTAAGATAAAATTATGAATGTACAACTAATGTGAAACTTTCAGATATTTTAAAAAAGTTAACAATAATAATGACTATACGTAGAGATAACAAATAAATTAGAAATGATATACTCTTCACTGCATGCACCTTTTTCTATCGCTTTTATAATAAAGTTTTATCATATCTCGTTTTTCTTTATTAGTAAAGTCCATTTTTAACGATAGAGTAATGCCCTAGTTCTTGTTCAATGTTTCTAATTTGAGGGAAAACAAATAGAACTTGTGACACTTCAATAAAAAGGTATGGATGCGTAACCATTTTAGTCACCGTTCACCGTTACCGAGATCCGAATGGAGAGAGTCGAATTTGAAACACCCCGTATATAAAAAAGTCTATCAAGATTTTTGCGGTGGGTATTGCTTTAATTTTATTGTAAAAGTTGCTAAAGAGTTACATTTTATTTCATCAGGCCATTAAAGGCTTGCAGCCCCAATATCGAGGGTGATCTAGATCAGGGCTTCTTAAACTTTTTTATATATCGACCCCCTTCAAGCTTAGGAAATTTTAAACGACCCCCTCCTCCATATAATGAAACATATATTAACCGTAGATGTATATATATATATATATATATATATATATAT